CCCTTTTCTCTTTCTTCCTTTTCCGGTGCCTCCCTTCGGCCTGTTCGATTCCATCTTTCAACTTGTGCCCTCCATCCCCCCCTCCCGATATTCCCCAAGCAATCTGCTGCTTTTCCCCATGCTCGTCTGTCCTTGTTCTGTGTCTATCGCCTCTCTTCCCGTCTTTCTCCACGCCTTTCTCTGCTCCGTTGGGATCCTCTTTCGACTCCTGCTCCTCCAATACTCGATGTGGCGCTTGCGGATCTGGTTATGTCCTTTCCTCTCTTCCTCTGTCTGTTGCTCTTTCTCTCTTCATTGCTCTCTCTCTCCCCATCACCTGCATACCCACATTTACCCCATTCCTCTCGTGATTCAGGCCCTTCGTCAATATCCTGCTCTGTCTTTTCCTTCCAATGTGTTCCCCCTCCCTTCGCGCTAAGCTCCTCTTCCTGCCTTGCAATCTCTTCTTTAAACCCACTTTGTCTGGAAAAAAAAAATTAAAAAAAAAAAGGATCCCCCTACGCGACCTGCATATTCCTCACCCCCCTGTTGTCTTGGCGCTCTTTCCCCTCCACTTCATGGGGTTCATTACCTACATCATCACACTGATTGGCTGGCAATCCGACCCTCTCCTCCTCTCGATCATACATTCCGATTGCCCCCCTCCATAATCCGTGAAGCCCATGCCCTTCTTCGCTGATTGGGATCCCGACCTACATCCTCCTCCCATTTACTTCAGGACCCTCCTCGACGTCATCCCCCTCCACAACCTCCTTAAATCCGGCAAACTTACCTTTTACTTGCTTCACCCCATATCTCGGTGATTCTCTTTTTCTGATTTTTCTGCTTCATCTGCCGTCGCGTCCCATCCTGACCGGGCGGGTCCTGACCCTCTCACCCTCCTGATCCTGCATCTTCCCCCTCCCCCTTCGTCCTTCTCCTGCTACTCCCTTCTCCTGCTCCTCCCTTCTCCTGCTACTCCCTTCTCCTGCTACTCCCTTCTCCTGCTACTCCCTTCTCCTGCTACTCCAACCGCTCAAGATTTCAATGGCGACCTACTCCTGCATGCCTACCAGGCACTTGATGTCCCCCTTGTGTTCCTTCTCCCCCTGCCTCTCCGCATTCACGGTATGATCCCTACCACTCCTTTCGATAGCGCCCATGCACAAATCCTATCCCACTTGCGACATAGCACCCCCACAGAAAGTGCAGTTGCCGCCCTAAGCGAATGGAGGGATGGAGGGAGGGAGGACAGAAGCAGGGATGGGAAAAGAAAGAAGGACAGACAGACAGCCAGACAGACACAGAGAGAGAGAGAGAGAGAGAGAGAGAGAGAGAGAGAGAGAGAGAGAGAGAGAGAGAGAGAGAGAGAGAGAGAGAGA